AAAGGATAGGTATGGATGATTTATTTAATAATGTCAGAACTACGTCGGCATACCAAATATTTGGTTGGTAAGCAAATGTCAAATGTCAATTGATGTGGTAGGTCTCTAGAAAACTGTCCAATAAGCTACAGAGGGTGTCAGTATAGAAACCAAATTCCATTCATACCATACCATATTATCCCAGCAATACGGTATGGTTCAGAAACTCGGGCCCTGACCAAAGAACAAAAAAAAACTTATTGCTGTGGTTAAACACCCAGATATATGGGTGTTTTCCAGAAGATAATAGCTCGGATGCGTGGAGGAGAGGAGACATTGGAGGACATTGTAGGCCCCCACGAAGCTAAGTTCACATTAAGCCTACTCTTGATTAATCTACAATCTCTTCGTAACAAACTCCATGAATTTGAGATTATTTTAGCTCAATCAAAGACAGATATAATTTGTGTCAATGAACACTGGCTTCTGGCTGAAGAGATACCCCTCTACGTGCCTGAAGGTTTTGTTCTTGCGAGCTACTACTGCAGGCAATCTCCTTTTGGCGGTTCATCCATCTATGTGAAGAGCGACACAACTTATGAGGTCTTGGACATGGGGGAATACGGCTGTGACGCTTTTTGCGAGGCTTCAGCTATTAGACTACATAAACTAAACATGTTAATCTTGTGTATTTACCGTACTCCTACTTCTAATTTTAAATGTTTTATTACTAACCTTGAAAAAATCTTAATTTGTCTATTTAATGATTCTCTTAAACACATAGTCTTGGCTGGTGATCTAAATGTTGATATCCTCAAAACCCATGACCCCGAAACTGTTGAATTGATTAATCTCCTTAGATCATTTGATATTTATTGTGTTCATGAAACCCCAACCAGATTTAAAGCTTGCCTTGATGTTGTAGCCTCAAACATTACATCTGACCATGTTGAGGTTAGGTTACTTAACCAAGATATATTGTCGGACCATGCGGGTGTATGGACCACATTTACCCTGGATTCCTTTACTTTTGACGAAAGTAGAGATAGGCCCAGTCTAAAAAAAAGAGAAGTAGAAAAAAAGCGCATCTTATCTCATGAGAAAATTAATGACTATAAGCAAATGCTATTATCTGCAAACTGGATGGGTATCTACACTAATGATGTAAATATATCTGTTAATGTGTTTTTAAATATACTGTCTATGTACCTGAATTTAAGTTGTCCAAAAATGTCTGTAAATAGTAGTTTTAAGGGAAAAAAGGGTTCACTGGTAAAATGGTTTACGCCTGATCTAGAAAATATGCGTAAATTACTCCTTGCACTGTACGACAAATGGAAAAGCACATGTGACCCAGATGACAAATTAATGTTTAGCAAATTTAAGGCACAATATAGGCAAGAAATTATAAGTGCAAAAATAGAAGCAAATGGTAGGTTTATAAGTAAATCGACAAATCAATGTAAAGCTGCTTGGCTGGTTGCTAAAAAGGAAGGTAACTTGGTATCAACAAAGAAACAGATTATACCAATTTCACCTGAACAAATGAATAACTTTTTTGTTAATGCTTCCAATGTTCAAGGTAATGACCAATCTGTAACTAATACTGATTATAAAGAGTTTTTAAATAATAACATAAATCTAGATTGTAGTAGGCCTAGTATTAACTTTAAGGTCAATTTGGTTGATGTAAATACTGTTATGTGTGTTGTAAATAAAATGAGTAACTCTAAATCTGAAGATGTTTACGGAATGTCAAACTTTTTAATTAAGAATATAATTCATGTAATTGTAATACCACTAACTTTTATTGTTAACTTAGTTCTTAGCACAGGCATATTCCCTGAATGCTTAAAAGTGACAAAAGTTACACCCATCTTCAAAAAAGGTGATGTAAACAAACCTGAAAACTACAGGCCAATTGCAATCGTTCCTATTATAAGCAAGGTTATAGAACACTGTATTGTAAACCAGCTCAATGATTATTTTGTAAGTAATAGTTTGTTTTATCCTTTTCAGTTTGGCTTTAGGCCTAAACACTCGACAATAGATGCTGTTGAAAAAGTAGTTGAATATGTTTTAAATGGCTTTGAACAAAAACTCACTGTAGGGTCATTGCTTATTGATTTAAGTAAAGCTTTTGACTCTGTATCACACAAAATCTTATGTGACAAGCTAAAGTCTTATGGAGTAGCTGATAAGGAATTGAGGTTAATTCAAACATATCTCCAAAGCAGAAAACAGATGGTTAGCTTTAATAATATGAATTCCGGATACCTAGATGTTACAGTAGGGGTACCACAAGGCTCTGTCCTTGGTCCTTTTTTGTTTTTAGTTTTTGTTAACGATTTTAGCTCTAATGTCTCTACTTTTTCTGTGTTGTATGCTGATGACACCACCCTGGTACAATCTGATATAGATTTAGTGGGTGTTCAGAACAAACTTGACATAGCCTTGATGGAGTCAAAATCATGGTTCTCTGCAAATATGTTGGCTGTGAATGAAGGTAAAACAGAGCGCTTAATTTTTACACTAAGGAACCATTGTGATTTAGATTTAGATAATGACTTGTTCAAGCCTGTAAAACTGCTGGGTATTACTCTGGACAGTAAACTCTGTTGGGACGAACATGTACACAACTTGTGCAAAAAACTTGCTCGTGTTACCTGTCTTTTAAGAAAACTTAAAACTTGTGTTAATTCTGATGTTCTTTTTATGGTTTATTTTGGTTTGTTTCATACCCATCTTATTTATGGTATAAGACTATGGGGCAATTCACCATCAGCAAAAAAAGTGTTTGTTTGGCAAAAAAAAGCAATTAGGGTTATCTGTGGCCTAAATGAAAATGATTCATGCAGAACAGTCTTTCCTGAACTTAGCATATTTACTCAACCTAGTCTGTTTATTTACTATAATCTTATATTTGTTAAAAACAACACCCATATCTTTCAAAAAACCTCTACTATTCATTCTCACAACACCAGACAAAAAGAGGACATTGTTAGACCTAGTATTAGACTTGATAAGTATTATAAGAGCCATAGTTACCATCAAATTTTAATTTATAATAAACTGCCAACCAATGTTAAAATGTTACCACCTAAGAAATTTATCCATGTTATTAGCAAGTGGCTTAAAGTTAAGGCATTTTATACCACTGAAGAGTACCTGAGCTGTGATCCTCAAGACATTATCTATTGATTTTATATACTTTGACGACACCTATTGTATACTGCTTATTTAATGGTGAATAAATTCTTGATTCTTGATTCTTGATTCTTGAGATGTACATTAACTTTAAAAAATAGATTCCAAGGAGTCTACCACAAGTAAGACGACCACTTGGAGGACCAAGCAATGAAAGACTTCTCCAGACGGGGATCAACATTAGAAGAGGCAAGGGATAGAAGAGAATGGGAGGTCAAAAATCCTCTTAAGGTTTCAGTGGCCACTGAGGTAAAATAAGGTACTATGTGAGTGATAGCATTGTTGATTATAAAAATCCTGAATTCCTACGGATTTAAAGTCCACGATAGTATATGCAATGGAAGGTGGTGTAGGTGCTGTACTCTAAACCAGTGTGTTTGAATGGACCGCCAATCTCACTTTAAGGCTTTTCAAATCAACACAATAGCTGTTTTATTGTAAAATTATCAGATTGAAAATGCATATCGGATAGGCCTATAATCGGATGAAAGAAATAGGTTGTCACGTGATATTTGTTTACAAGATTATTTTCCCTATTAAAACTGCCAGAATGTTTCTTTATGCATGTTAACTAGCTGTTCTGAATTATATTTAGTTTTAATCGACTACTTGATTCCCATACATAGGACGGGCCAACAGCTAGTAATAATAATAATAACAATATTAATGTTTTAAATGTTTACATTAATGGATGTGTTGGTTACAAAAATAACAACAGAATGTAATAATATCCATATATAAAGCCCAAAGTACCCATGAATTTTTGAGAAAACTGCAAGTTACACCCCCATAAACCATACTTAAAATGTTCGTCATGACGAGAAACCTTGCGCAAAACTATCCATTATTTCATAAATTGCTTTCCATATACATAATGTTAAAAATACCTCAGCTGTACTTATTTATATGTTATTCTTTCATTTATTACCTTATTAAAATCAGGTGTGATTATTTGTTTGTATTACTGTATTCTGTTTTGTTTATTTCAGCTTAACTAGTTTTATTAAAAAGTTGTGTATTATTCCAGCTTCAAGAACGAATTATTAATAAACTAGTTTACCTTGTGGTTGCCAGATTCTTGAAATGTGTAGATATCTTGCTCGATATACATTTTGCTACATGTGTAGCATCGTCAGGAGCACAGTTTGTCACATTAGTCTATTTAACACAAACACTATTTACAAATATTTACATTTTCGGTCGGATGACGATTTACGGTAAAGTCATGGGAATCCAGCGCGCGAACGCGTGCGCGGACCGGAGGATGTCACTCGAGTGACACATGTAGTGTGCCTCCGGTCCGCGCATGCGTTGTCATGGGAATCCAGCGCGCGAACAAAAATAACATGCGACTGAATGACTTAACAAGAACTGATCACGCTGACAAAACTCGAAGCTACAAAAAATCGGTCCAAAACAACCAACAACAAACACCAAATGATTGATGTGTATTATGATAATGTAGCAAACGTGCACAAGACAAATCCAGTCACAATGTACGTCCTGCCAGCCACCGTCACAGAGTTGAACCCAGAATTGAATTGGTTTTTAACAAAGCCAACTACAATATTACTATTTTAACATTAGATACTAATTTTATTTTAATAGACTTGCAAAAAATGATTTTGTTAAAAGACATTTACCAAAGACTGCTCTCTGAGGATACTAATAATTTACCCCGAGCAAAGCTCGGTTCCCAGGTACTGTTTATTGAATGACAAATCCATACACTCATCAAAACTCTAATAAAAGCAGTAATTAGAAGATTACTTAGGTTGTTTTATCTTACACCATAACTGGCCAAGGTGACATACCTGGTGATCGAGCCCAAATGTTGCAGGTTTTGTCAGTTTTCACATCCTGCATTTTTGTTCCCCAAGTAGTTAATTCATAAATATTTGGGTATTGTGAATAAGTTCGGAAAGCTACCACAGGATCATTAAAAGCTGAACCATCATCTTCATAGACGTCGGTGTTTACATACTGGATAATTCCTTCATTGTTGACACCTGCCTGAAAAAGAATTATTAGATTCCCATAGTTGAGTTTTTTGTTTTAGCGAATTTCCTATATAGAAAATCAGCTATTACCGTAGGTCTCATGTTAAGACCTGGACCAGGGACGAATTTACTTTTTCATTTTGATGTCCCAAGAGGCCAAAAATACCATCCGTTGAAATTTATGTGTCCAACAAGATAAATCAAGCAAAAATCATCCGATTTTGATTAACTTTGGTAAAACGTCTAAATCTACGTTTATTCAAACGAGGTCCTGAACCAGCATGATCAAACAATGGGAATAGGGTTTTAAGTGAAAAAGTTGGTTTTTTTTAAATTTTTGATCCTCAAAACATAAAATTTCTCAATTTATCTCTAAACCATTTTGAAGAGCTTGTTTAATATATTGAAGTGTTTTGTCCAGTTGGTTATAGAGAAATATCAACAAAAGTTTAACTAAAAATTCCCATGTTATTCTTATGGAGAATAAGTGAATAGTTATACAGTAGGTTGCTTGTTTATGGATATAAAACTTTAAAGATGTATTTATTTTATACTAAACTATTAATATTTTACCTAAAAAACACACTTAATTACCCTCCCTGTAGCAGCAAATTTAAGTGAAAATCAAATCAAGCAAATGAAAATTTGCTAAGTCTGTAGGTTTGCTGTGAAGGGGGTATTTGGTTTTTTTATGGAAAGTGATCAGTTGCTACAGGAATCGGGCTAAGCAGCCATTATATGATATACTTTTAATACTTTTAAATGAGATGTAGTTTCGGACAAACCTCATAACTGAAGTAGCAGGGATACCGCTTGCCGGTGGCCTCCATAAGAGTCTCTAGCTTTGTAATCATGCGGACCGGCCTGTTGAGCAGATGAGCCGCTAAACTGACTGCGCAGCCCACAAGGTTGCCTCTGCTTAATTTAAACCCATAAGATCCACCGAGAGCACGAAGACTTATGTTGATTCTGTCATTAAAAAACTACAATAAAAATATGGCATTAAAATAATTTTTTTTCTAAATGGCATAGCCTACAAATATTAGGCTCATACGTTTTAGCTTAAGAAAATTAAGTCTCTTCCAAAGATAAATGGCAAGGTAAATTGGGACTACAGTCACAGATTAAGTAAAGAGAAGGGATAAAGGGTGGGGTATGGTAGTTGTTTTGTTAGGGAGAGGAGGGAAAATGCTATTACACACACAGGTGGCCAGCCTGTGAGAATCTTGAATTGATCAGACCACCTCCTAAGATACCTGTACTCTGTTGGACACAGTCTCTATAAGTCACATTTCTTCAAGTGAGTAACCTAAACCCTCAGGGCTCTTAAGGTTTCTAGCAAACAGTTCTTTTATGACCTGGACCGCATCCCAGTCAAGGTTGGGCTTCTTGTTGGTGTGTAGATTACCCTGGATAAAATGTGACACACAGGTCCAATTGTCCTCACCCTCCATTATAATCATAATGAACCTGTCCAATGACAGCAGTCATACATAGTGTTGAGCCTCCAGGCGGGCATTTTCCAACGTGGGCAGTGGAAAAAAGTGTGGTCCACGTCTTTTGCATCTACTACCCAGGCAGTAGATGCAATCGATTGACAATACATCAAACAATAGCAACAAATAACGGTTACAACCCAACAATCGTGGAAACTATGATCAGCAAAACCCGAAAGAAAATTAAGTCCATCCCACAAAATGAACATTCAAATCAGTCGAACCCAGAAAGCCAGAATCAGAAATACGTAGCAATCAAATACACTAAAAAAATAAGACAAAAAAAAATAGGAAAAATAATTAATAAAGTAGGCTACACACCAGCCAAGGTTAAAACCAATCCAAAACCCATTTACAAGCAAGAAGACAACAAAGACAACCCAGATAATGAACGAGGAGTCTATAAAATTACATGTGCGCCCCCTGCAATAAACAGTATATCGGTTACACAAACAGAGCTTTCAGCAAAAGATTCAAGGAACACAACACTCAACATCATGCCAACCCCAGCTCAATAGTAGCTAAACACTTGAAAGAAAATCATGACCACAAAATTATGTATCCTGAATCATTACAGATCCTTCACAAAACTCACTCCAAATCTACTGCAATAGTTAAAGAAAGCTATGAAATATATAAACACATTAACACCAGCCCTGACACCCTCCTAAATAAAAAAGAAGACTACCACAACTCCGTATTATTTATTCTCATTAAAAACATCGAAGAAAACCAAATATCTGGCAACACTGCACACGAACGGCAACACCGCAAAAGAGAAAGCGACCATCCCCCACGCACAATGACTACATCCCCTGTCCATCATAGCCCCGTCACAGTCAATCACCCAGTGGAAGTCGTCGCCAACGACACGAACAGTGCGAAACATGTACTCCGCCGCTCGTATCGCTGTTGTCGGGCAACCGCGAATGTGACCGCGAAGTGATAAGAAAACCCCTAATGTAAATATGTATAGTATAATATAGGTAAGGAATTTAGTGTAAGAAGAATGAAGAACTCCATGAAGATGATGCACTGAGCGGCGAAATGCGCATAGAGTAACGACAAGTTCAACTACAAGACCTTAAGGCAAAATAGATAAAATAAATTATTGTATAATACAGGTCTTGCCACTGGGTTCAAACAACATTTAAAACCCCATAATTTTGATTTTTACCTTTAGGTGTGCGATAAAGTTTTAGTAAAGTAAAGTAACAGATTATTTGTTGGATTTTATGGCTTATACATCACTTTTGATGTTAGCAAGTCTGTGTTAGTGTTGGAGGATCATTACTTGTTCTCTGGTATGTTGAGGAGCTGAGCGATTGCCTCTTGTACTAGCATCAAACTTTGTGTTGAGCAGTAGACATCTAACTCATCGCCATCCTTAGGTACTACCAGACAAGTCAGTGTCTCCATGCAGAAGTGATACTGTGACTCCATCTTCCACTCGCCCTTCACCACCCTCTGGACATCAGCTGCACCAAACAATTTTACATTTTAAATATTGTTTGCATTAGCACTTGAAATTATGAACATAGTTCATTTTGTAAGTATTGGGTTAAACATATTGATAACTCCAGTTCAATTTGTTATCCATCAACAAAGAGAAAAGTTTCACCCTCATACAACAGACGATTGAGAATACTGTGACAGTCAACAAAAATTAAACTGGACATAAGTTAGCAGATTTTTTTTTAAAGGTGTGTGCAGAGTTTGTTTTTCATGGTGCAACCCATTACTTTTAACCCAACCCTGTATATATTATGAACAAAGAATAAGGCTGCATTATGTTATTAAATGGTAAAATGTCAGTAAACGAATATTTAGATTCAGAATTACGTTTAGGTATTGCAGGCCTCTCAGCCGCCAAGGTTATTCTTGCTAGGTCTTTGTCTTTGGCAACTTGACGGATGTCGAGCACAGGCTTCTTCTTGTCAGTTATTGTGATGGAGACAAGTTCTGCAGCTTTGTCAGCCAACTCCTGAGTTTGAGCAACTATCAGGCCTACAACCTGACCAGCAAACTGGACAATCTTGTCTGCAAACAACTGAAACAAACAAACCTGCATGTAATACAAATATAATACATTTTTTTAACTGTGTTTACTTCAAATTTCAAAATACTTTAAATGAATACTTTTTACTGTACAATACGAGGGCTGTTGGGAAAGTAACCATCACATTACTTCTTGGGCGGGATGTGCAGGGGGTAGCGCAGCCCTTCTTGCGCCTTCGCACGTCGCAGGTCAGACGGCGTCCAGCCGCGGTAGTGTAAAGGTCATCTGAGCGCTAGTTTTTTTTGCTGTCGCTAGTCAAAATGAGTACTGCAATCGAAAATCCCACCAAGTGTGAGGTGTGTGCTATGATTCGGTTTTTCGTAGCTAAACAGTATCCAGCAGCAGCTATTCACAGAGAACTTTGTACTGAGTATGGACATAAAATAATAAGTGAAGGAGTTGTTCGGGAATTGGTTCGCTTATTTAAAAATGGCCAAACGAACGTGAGTGATGAAGAAAGAAGTGGCAGGCTATCTGTGGTTAGTAATAAACTCGTTGAGAAAATCAACCCAAAGATTCTGGATAAACATCGATTCACTATCTCAGAGCTTTTGGAAGAATTTCCACAAATTTCCAGGACTGTTCTGTACAAAGTTGTGACTGACAGGTTAGGTTACCATAAATTTTGTGCTCAGTGGGTCCCAAAAATCCTTTTGGAAAACCACAAGACTCGACGAATTCCTACAACTCTGGACTTTTTGACTCGATACAACAACAAAAGAGAAATGTTTTTGAATCAAATTGTGACTGGCAATGAAACCTGGATCAAACACGTGAGTCCTGAAACTAAGGACAATCTAAGTTGTGGGGTCATACGGCATCGCCACACAAACCAACAAAAGCGATTTTTTCCAAAAAACAGCTCATGGCAATTAACTTTGTTTTGGGACTCCATGTTTTGTGCTGCTGGTTGAATTTATGTCACGTGGTGCAACAATCAATGCAGATTCGTACGTTGAAACTCTAAAGAACCTAAGAGGATCCTTAACAAACTTCTTCTGTCGTCTGGTGTCGTCCTTCTGAACGCACGTCCTCATGCTGCCCAGGAAACCAATGACCTTTTGGACCAGTTCAAATGGGATGTTTTTTCACATCCTCCATATATCCCAGACTGTATACTTTTGTATTATACGGAGGCCACCCTTATACAGCACGCTGCGGTGGTTTGTTAGGTTGGGTCATCATAAATATGTGTAATGGTTGGCTCTACTGACTATTGTTATTTTAGTTTTTCTATTGCTGGTTTGCCAAGTAGTGGTGTTGTGCATTTGTCACCCACATACATTTTTTCCATACACGATTTTCCTTTGTAAGAGAGTTTTGCAGTGACTGTGCCAATAACAGAAAGAGGCGATCCTCCAGCCGCACTTAAAGTTCTCTGGGTAGGCTGGACTGCAATTTTTTTGCATAGCTTTATGTTGGATGGTATTACTGTCACGTCAGCTCCTGTGTCGATTTTGAACTTGACAGTGTCCTTATTAAGTCTTACATTTATTGTCCAGGGATCATTTTAGCGAATTTCCCATATAGGGAATAAGCTATTACGGTAGTACTCATAGTAAGACCTGGACGCGGGACCGATTTTTTTGTTTGTTTTGAGGTCCCTAGAGGCCAAAAACACCATCCGTTCAAATTCATATATATATATATATATTTAATAATAATAATAATAAATAATATAATTTATATATATATTATATATATTACGTGTAAACCTACATTTATTCGAACGAGTTCGCGATCCAGCATAATCGGACCATGGGAACCGGGGTTTATGGGGGGTTTTATGGGGTAAAAATGGGTTTTTCCCATTTTTGACCCAAAAAACATAGAATTTAGCAATTTCTTTTCAAACCATTTTGTAGAGCTTAAAAAAACAAATAATTTAGTATATTGAAGCGTTATTATGCGCCTAATGGTTACGAAGAAAATTCCAAAAAATTTTAAATTTAAAATTCCCATGTTATTCTTAAGGAGAATAAGTAAACTGTTGTAGTTTGCTTGTTTATGAACATATTTTGATCGAATTTGGAAAATGTTTTTATTTCTTACTAACTATTAACATTTTACAAAATAAAAAAACAGTTTTACCCTCCCTGATGCAGCAAACCTAAGTACTTGTTAAACTAATTCTATTTAAATGGGGAATAAATGTAATATTTTTAAGTAGACATTTCAGTGTAAATCCAATCAGTCAAATGAAAATTTGCTTAGTCTGCAGGTTTGCTGCGGCTGGGGTATTTAGTTGTTGTGTAGGACTTGAAATAGCAAAATTACTTAACTTGTTATGGCAGAATTGACAACTAATAAAAAACAATTTTGAACTGTAGAGATCGTAAGGAGGAATTTTTTTAACAAATACATCTCTGGCCCATCTTATTCGGTGGCACTTAATTTCTCCAATTATAATTTGGCGGGATTTGAACCCGGGACCTCAGGGACTGAAGTCCCACGCTCTAACCACTAGACCAGCTCACTCCCCTCGGTAAGGAGGGACTAGGTAGGGCAGAATTCACACAGGAAATTTATTGTTTTCAATCAAATCTGAATTATTCTATTCATATTCACATTTAGTTCTCTGTTGCTTCTCGATCGTAAATCAGTGAGTTTTTAAGATTTATAAATTTATTATTTGTGTTTAAGTTTGGTGAAGTATTTATTTAATTGGTTAAGTAGTAGTATTTTTTCTACTGCTCCAATTCTGCTTTCACTTGTTTCCACCATCTCTGTTTTGGTCTTCCTCCTGGTTGCCTTCCACTACATTGCCCTCTAATACTCTTCTCAGTCTGCATTCTACGCCTCTTCTCAATATATATATGCTGGATCGCGAACTCGTTCTTACCATGAGTTGCCCAGGTCTTACCATGAGTATTACGGTAATAGCTTATTCCCTATATGGGAAATTCGCTAAAACTGCAAAATGATTATGAACAACCAGGGGCAGCTCCAGAGGGTAGGCCAGGTAGGCCCGGGCCTACCCAAAACTTAGGTAGATATAAAAAAATTATAAAGAAATTACAAAATTTTAATTATATGAAAATAAAGGGAAAGCATTAAAACTCATTACTTTGCATTTAAATTTTTTAATTTCCCTCTATTAGCAGGGAAGCTTCTCAAACCTCTTGTCCACGGATCAAACTACCTACTTCTGATCCTTGTCAGACCTACCCAAAAAATTATTCCAGGAGCCGCCCCTGTCAACAAAAACTTTTAGTTTTTCAAAAGCGGCGTTCGGCCGATCTACAGAGGTGTTTTTGCGACAAAACCAAAAAGCGTTATTATAATCTCAGGGAGTTTTGCCACATCAGGCTAGCATGACAACAGTTGTCACAAGGCATCCCTGTAATTCATCCTGTTATGTTATATAACTTACATCTATAGTCCTTATAGGAGGTTTGTTTTGGGATGAAACTACCAGAATAATTTGGCTAAGTAGACTTTGCTCTCTATTCTACTTATTCTCAATACAGAATTACCTGTTCATTTTCTGGAGTAAATGTAGAAAAGGATGTAAATGAATTTACTCCTGGAATGTCCTTTGCAGTGAGAAAAGTCACTACCCCATGAAGATTCTGAAACATTGGTAGGATGTTGTAACATCTTGTTTAATTTACCTCTTGTTCATACATTATGTGCATTTAATGTCAAAGAGATCACTCTATATCTAGTTACTGTATATTTATAAGAAAACTTGACTGCACTAATATCCTAATCTGCAATAACTGTTGAACTGTAGTTTTTACAGCAATGGGGTTTGTACCATTTTGTTTACTAAATTTAAATACAAATTGTTCAGGACTTTTGTAAACATTCGATTTTTCAGTTATTTTATGGGTTTTTATGAGAAAATCACCATTGAAGATTAAATCTCAAAAAATGTAAAACACCTCTGGAGATGGATTAGGACCCACATACCAAACTGCATGAAAATCAGACTACACGTGTTTGATCTGTACACATACAGACATACACACATACACACACAAATACATCACTTCAAACCACTTTTTTAGGTTCAGGGGGACCTAAAACGGATCCAACCAAAACTACTTTCTTCATATACAAAACTGTGTATAGGGGGAGAAGATGTTACATCAGATTAAAATTTGTACGATGCCAATACAATTGGTTCGCCTGAAACATTTTCATATTTTCAGGCGAAGATCAGAAAGAAGATGAGTGTAGAATGAATCATAAAACAGCTTTGTTACTGACTAAGGTCAGCTGGTTCAGCAACATTTATTAAGAATCAAATCAACTAATATTTGAAACAATGTAAAGATTACTAAAACTTGATTTAGTAAATAAGAATACTTGCACACCAGAGCTCTTTTGGGATCTATACATTCTAATGTTCCAGGTCCTAGTTTGGTGATCACAAAGGCAGCATACAAAGTATCTAACGATGTAGGCATATCATAAATGTACTCAGCCTCTCCTAAAACAAAAATACATATATATTACATATAGGTATACTTCATGGAGGAAGCCTGTAGAAAATAATACAGGGTGTTTATAAATTATTCATCAGGTTTTAACACTTTGTATTAGCCTCAATACTTAACAAATAAAAAATATTGATCAAAACTACATCAATAGAAAGAAAATGTATTAAATTTTTCTTAGATAAACCTACAAGTGCTCGATGTGGCATCCATTAGCCATGGAACAAGTTTCCAATTGATGTTGTAATTTGGCACATACTCCAGCTAGCATTGAAAGGCTGATTGAATCTATGGCGATGCAAATGCGTTCACGTTGCTCTGAAGATTTTGTTGCATTGGCGAAATATATACTTTGTCCTTATTCTAGCCCCAGAGAAAAAAAACACCTGTGTAACACACGCTGCAGATATCAATGATAAACTAG